TGATTTCAAAGAAATCTTCTACTGTGAACGCGTGAATGAAAGGAACACCTAATTACCAACATCATCAGCAAACTTGCTAACGAATCACCTGCCTGATTCAAACTGGCGTCTGGAGATCGTTATTAGATTAGGCCATCCCTTTTTCAATAGGAGGCCAAGATACTTTAAGAGAGAGCCACGTTTTATGGAAATGTTATCAGTGTACGCTGGAAGAGACTACTAGTATCTACTCTCAAACATGGTCAAATTTTATCCAAAAAAAAATATTTACCAACAAGCAGCCACTCAACTGAGATAGCTCCGCTATTAGCAATGCACGTTTCAAAAAGATATCATTAGAAAATGAACAAATCTGAGAGGTCTACACGAGACACCTATATGTATAGTATCAAAGCAATCAAACTTGCGGTTTTTAACAAGAAGTCACAAATATCAATATTTACCAAAGAATAACAAAAATATTCATCTAAATTAGATAATTGAAGATATCATCACGAAATTTACAAATCTGAGAGAGGTCTACCTTAGTACATAATATATAGTATCAAAGCAATTGGACCTGCGGTTTAAGAATAGTCTAATTAATTAATTAACAATCTAGGGGGGACATAATTCTGCAATATTAGTAGAAGCCATTTTAAAAGTGCCAAAACAATTCATCAAAATTAGAAAAAGATATCGTCATGAAATTAACAAATTTGAGGGAGAACCACCCAAGGTATAATTGTATGAAATCTATATCGACTTGTGGGACGATTGTGAATTGGAACAAATTGACGCGTGGGACGAATGTGAATTGGAACAAATTGACTTGTGGAACGAATGTGAATTGGAACAAATTGACTTGTGGGACGAATGTGAATAGGAACAAATTGACGTGTGGGACGAATGTGAATTGGAACAAATTAACTTGTGGGACGATTGTGAATTGGAACAAATTGACGCGTGGGACGAATGTGAATTGGAACAAATTGACTTGTGGGACGAATGTGAATTGGAACAAATTGACTTGTGAGACGAATGTGAATTGGAACAAATTGACTTGTGAGACGAATGTGAATTGGAACAAATTGACTTGTGGGACAAATGTGAATTGGAACAAATTGACTTGTGGGACAAATGTGAATTGGAACAAATTGACTTGTGGGACGATTGTGAATTGGAACAAATTGACGTGTGAGACGAATGTGAATTGGAACAAATTAACTTGTGGGACGAATGTGAATTGGAACAAATTGACTTGTGGGACGAATGTGAATTGGAACAAATTGACTTGTGGGACGAATGTGAATTGGAACAAATTGACGCGTGGGACGAATGTGAATTGGAACGAATTGACGTGTGAGACGAATGTGAATTGGAACAAATTAACTTGTGGGACGAATGTGAATTGGAACAAATTGACTTGTGGGACGATTGTGAATTGGAACAAATTGACTTGTGGAACGAATGTGAATTGGAACAAATTGACTTGTGGGACGAATGTGAATTGGAACAAATTAACTTGTGGGACGAATGTGAATTGGAACAAATTAACTTGTGGGACGAATGTGAATTGGAACAAATTGACTTGTGGGACGAATGTGAATTGGAACAAATTGACTTGTGGGACGGGACGAATGTGAATTGGAACAAATTGACGTGTGAGACGAATGTGAATTGGAACAAATTGACTTGTGGGACGAATGTGAATTGGAACAAATTGACTTGTGGGACGAATGTGAATTGAAACAAATTTACGTGTGGGACGAATGTGAATTGGGACGAATGGGAATTGGAACGAATCGACTTGTGGGACGAATGTGAATTGGAACAAATTGACTTGTGGGACGAATGTGAATTGGAACAAATTGACTTGTGGGACGAATGTGAATTGGAACGAATTGACTTGTGGGACGAATGTGAATTGGAACAAATTGACTTGTGGGACGAATGTGAATTGGAACAAATAGACTTGTGGCACGGATGTGAATTGGAACGAATCGACTTGTGGGACGAATATGACGACTTGTGTGACGAATGTGAATAGGTGATTTTCCGTTCAACTGCGAGATCTCGCGAGATGCATGAAAGACGCGTGTCGAACGTCTTCCGCAAAAAACGAATGGTTTTATTTTGAACTGGAATTTTTATATTTCGTAGCTCACATTGACCGGTCGATCTTCGACAGAGGAATATTGCTTTTGAATACCCTGACTTAATCAAAATTGTCTATCATCAAATGTGTACAGCACATTATTAAGCATGGAAATGCCCCATAAAATATTTTTGCGTTTGTCAAATCCCACGCGATGTTTGACGCACTGTCCTGTTCTTACCTTTGATTTCACGCATAACGTGTGATTCTCGCAGTGAACGAAAAATGGTCTATTGGGACGAATTGACTTGTGGCACGAATGTGAATTGGAACAAATTGACTCGTGGGTTGAATGAGAATTGTGACAAATTGACTTGTGGGACGAATGTGACGACTTGTGGGACGAATTGACTTGTGTGACGAATGTGAATTGGGACGAATTGACTTGTGGCATGGATGTGAATTGGAACCAATTGACTTCTGGGACGAATGAGAATTGGAACTAATATTGACTGTGAATCATTGAATATACTCATGGTTCACTAATAATAATAATAATAACTTTATTGCATCCTTAGAATTACAAATGTTCTATTTGTTTACAGCAATAAATATATAAGTGATTAAAAAAAAATCAAAGTACGATAACGTAAAAAATAGAAAAAAAGAGTCAAGGTATTATATCCAAAAAAAGCTCATTTCTTAAAATAAATGATTTATATAAAAATTCCCCTAAAAGTTTTATTATATTTCTGTCATTACTTTTCATTAAATATGTGAATTTTTGCAGGTTGGTAATGATTTCTTTGGGGAATAAAATATTGGAAATAAAATCATTTCTGTCTGTTTGATATCGTGGGCAAACTAAAAGAAAGTGTAATTCGTCTTCGATCTCCTGTAATGGGCATTGTTTACAAATTCTATTTTCTAACGGGGTTTTTGGATTGGTATGTCT